ATATGTGATATTCAATATTTTAATCATTGCTTTTTTCAATTCAAGTCATCAAAACATATCTATTGGTTTGTATTAGAGACATAGAATCTACTGTCAAAGTAATCAAATTTACTTATTAAAAAAAAAAATCTTTTCGAAATCTTTCTCAACAGGTAAAACCCAATAAAAAGCGCTAACTTTATTTGAATAAATTTCTTATATGAAAATACTGATCAACAATACATATAATCGACATCAAAATAAAGTTATTATTGTGTTGATCTTTTTCTTTTTGTGTTATTCTAAAAAGAAACATCATAATTAAGAACAATCGTAATTAAGTGATATTTACATCTATTGACATGATTTCTTATCAATCTCAAACTTTTGTACACGATGATTTCCACGATCTGCCACATACAGATTTCCATCAAGATCCAATGCTATATCAGTCGGAAGATTGAGTTGATCAGATTGCCAACCTTGACCACGACCACCTGCAATTACAATGCCTGCTTTTGCTCCAGGTAACCATCGTGTAACTCGATGATTTCCGTATTCAACAACATAGATAGACCCAGATTGATCAACAACAACAGATTGTGGATATGATAATTGAGATACACCAAGATTTTGTAATTGACCAATAACAAATGAAATTTGTGATTTACTTTCATCTATTTTTAATATTCGACCATTATTTTTATCTGCAGCATAAATAGATCGATTTTGATGTGCAAACAAATAATAGAGTTCAGGTAAATTAGAAGCAATAACATATCCATTTTTTTCACCTTTACGTAATTTCAGTACATCATGTGACCGATAAGATGCAGATACATAAAGTGTATCTTCATTATCTAATGCTAAACCAATAGGACGTTGTACTATAATAATCGTTTCACCTACTTTAGCATTTCGATTCCATTTTTGCACTCGATTATTCATAGTGTCAGTGATGTAGATTGCTCCAGATTTATCAACGACAACATCCATTGGACCATATAATTGTGCTGTACCAGCTCCTGCTCCATATCCACCTGCAACTATTTCACCATATGTAGCACCTTTTGCCCATTTGACTATTCGAGCATTGTTGGTATCTGCAATATAAATAGTTCGATTTGCATCAATAAATATTCCCAAAGGATCATTAAGTTGATTGAGTCCATTTCCCCATCCATAACCACCAGCTACAGTAACACCTTGTCGACTCCATGTTGCTGTTGCACAGATACCGTCTTTAGGTACTGTTGGTGAAGGCATAGCTAAATGTATAGAAAATATGAATTTATTTATGAATAAGATTTTATTGAATTTTGATTTCATGATAGTGAACTTAGAAAGAATACTTTTGTTTCATCATCTTATTAAATTCCATTTAGGCTGTAAAACATAATCGTAAAAATAAATAGTATATTTTTATGATTTTTTTTCTCAAATCAATGTTTTATATCGTTTACATGAAATCATGTATATGAACAAAAAAAAAATAGTACTTACTTGTTGTTTGGATGGTAGTAGTCATTGTCGTTGTAGTGTCTGTCGCTATTTATTAAAAATGAAAACATATAATGTATCTTTTGCAACAAAGCCTCAGTTATTTTCAACGAAGAGAATATTTCAAAATTCTATGAAATTCAAAAAAATCCTTTGAAAGTACATTTTCGAAACACATTCAACTCTGAATTCTTTAAATTATGATTTAAAAAAAAATAATGAAAAGAAAAGTATTTCTTCTTTTTTTTTTTGATAATAACAATTTAATTTATATATATGAATCTTTGCTGTCTTACCTCCTAGTGGTGGACACATTCGTTGATCAATCATTGACAATGGATAACAAACAGGTTCATTTTTACATTGCAGACGAACACACATATGATCAGATTTTTCACATGTATTACCAGGAGTTTGACATGATTCAAGACGAGAACAATCTACCCAAAGAAAACCACAAATACCACTATTCTCAGAATTTGCCAAAGGAAGACAACCACAATCATTATTAGTTGAACATTGACCATATTGAGAGACTCCACGACATGTTTGTGAATATACACTTGAACTAAACAGGGCATGAATTAATCACTGATTATATAGGAAATAAAATTTGCAGAATTGAATGAATGCAACATAAATTACAAAGCAACAAATAAATTTACTTACCTAAAAACGACAAAAAGAATAAAACGAAGTGCTATCATCATGATGGCTTGACTCAAGAAAAAACAAAAAAAGCACGAAATGGCGATGATAGTTCGCTATTTATTTCATATAAATACAGGTGGTATTTTGCATTGTAATTTTCTCAGACTTATCATTCGATTCACTGAAAACCTATTCTGCTCTAATAATCCCTCATATTTCAGTATTATTTATTTAGGAAAGCAAACGAAACGTTGACAAATAGTACAAAGTACATTTTATAAAGATTAATATGATGACATTGCCCTAATTCTGCTTGTCAGGAGACAGATTTTAAGAAATAAAAACATAAAAATTAGGTCAAAAATGAAAATCCACTATTTTCTTTTTATATACTCTAGCAATTGGAAAGAAAAATATATGTTCAAAATTTAATCTACTTTAGTGATTTATTCAATTTTGTTCTATTGATAATATGTAATCTAAGAATAAAATCTTTTAGACATGGTTCAATTAAAACTTTTACAATTGTAAAATGTGCTATAGCTTGCTTACCGAATGTTTTGTTGAGGCAAAAACTAAAAACATCATGATTATCTCATTTCATTTAGACACTGGTAAATACGAGTTTAGTTCACTTATTGTAGATGTCATTAGTACACAAAAAATATTTCATTGTTCAAAAAAATAAATTCTCTCGGATCAAATAGTATCATTTTCGAGAAGTATAAAAAGTTTTATTATTATTATTATAACTATATCACAAAAAAAGTAAAATTCGTTGCTTAGCAATTAACTTTAGAGAGAATTTTGCCATGGATTGAAGTGAACATTTGATTAAAATCATTCACATAAATATATGTTTAGTTTTCATGGCGAAGAAACCAAATGATAAGTAAATATGATCTAGTTATATTCTTATCTCAAATATTTTAATATATGTGTTATATCGTAACACACAACAACTCGGATCCTATTGTTTGATTACTGTTGAAAAGAATAAACGCAATAGAATGGTAACAGATTATCAAAGATTTATATAGAAATTTTTGAATATGTATTAATCTCAGGTAGACAATAGTTAATTTTTGCTTGTATGTCAACATATATTGATCAAAAGAGATATGTATAAGATCATATGAGATGTATTCATCTGCCAAGTATTCCTGACATTATAGAGAGAGAGAGAGGAAAGATTGAGAATATTAGTTCACAACAATACTTCATTAAATATAAAAGAGAATCTTATCAAACACCAAATTTTTGTTGTTTTCAATCTCAGTATTGATTGTCGTGATTGCGTGAAAGAAATCAAAAGAAAGAGAAAAATAATAATTATTAGGAAAAACTTTATGTTTTTATTTATTGAGTATGAATCAAACATATCAAAAGTTTGTTTGTTTTAAGTAAAAAAAACACGTACAGTATATGTCTAGAGGTTAAGTAGTTCATTATTTAATATATTAAATCTATTTGAGGATGCAATAAAACACGATTTATACCTTTTATTATTTTTTTTCATTATCGAATTCGAGTGAAGTTTACTTCCTAATTCATATTTCACTCTTTCTTGAAAATTTTTTCCGTTACAATTAATGTCCAACGACTACAATTTTTTTGTAAATTGAATGACAATTAAAAAAAAAATGTGTCGTTAAGTAATCCATAACTGAATGATTCAATTTATTGCAGTTAATATATCTCCTGCAGAATCATCAATAATAGAAGAATAACCATTATTTCATTGCGTTGCGTACTGTATAGTTCTTCTTGGTAATAAAATCACATGCATTTTGATGACATTTTTGTAATTATTTTAAAAGGCTAAACGATTGTATTACTGTTAATGAATGAATTATTGAAGTCACTAACACATTATCTTAAGAGAACTTTATAACAAAATATAATAGTATACTATTTTTGTTGATTTCATGAACGCGCTTTGTTTTCTATTGAGATCACTCATTAAATAAATATCGCTGTCATCTTCAAAAAGATTATGAGCGAGAGAAAAATAGACAAATGTTTTCAATAACATCGTGTGTACATATTTTATCACTGTTTAGTACTACTGCACTTGAATATCACATATGTTATTATTGGTTTTTTTTTACTCAAGTCAGATTGTTGGTTGTAAAGCTTTTTTTATTAATGAATAATATACTTTCTTGATGCCGTCATCACTCTAATCAATAAAAATCTCTTCTATAGTCATAACGTTAATAATAGTCATTGCATAGATGACATTATTACGTCGAAGGATTTGGTTACCAATACGAAAATATTTGAAAAAGACAATTAGCATTTGAATACTAGAAATAGTTGATTGATAGTCAAAGTGGTATGAATATAAAATTATTGACAAATAATCAGAAAAATCAATCTTGAAATAGAATTATAATAGACTAAAATATTGCTTCGTCTACAAAAGGATGTATAGTACAGAGATGGACAAAGTCGCACCGCGCCTCCCCGCGCTTCCCCACGCCGTTGCTCACGCCTACGCTACACTAGTCTGAACTTCGATGAGCGCATGCTTAGAGCATCCCGGTATTCGGTGGAGTTTGAGAAACTGATTGGTAGAGCAAAGAGAAAGAGAGATGTACGTAGCACCTAGGCGCGGTGCGATTTTGTCCATCTCTGGTATAGTACACAATTATGGTAGCAATGAAATTTCTTCAAAGTGTATTTTATTGTTTTTTTGTTTTGTTCTTGCTATTCGATGGAATATTTGCATTCTTTTCTTTTTTTATGATTTCTTCATACATCTGAATTTTAAAACGTGTTTTTCTATTTGTATGAAACTAAACAAATATTGGAATCAATACGATCGGTTTGATTTTAAAACTATTAATTTATTTTAGTATATTCTTATGGCAAGTTTAATTCGAAATAAGCGACGAACAAAATTAGTTACACCATCAAATTCATCATTTTCAAATTGTGTACAAGATCATTTATTTATTCAACCAATACGTAGACCACTTGAAACATTTAAACCCGTTGTTTATTTAGATGAACAAGGTCGTAGACATGGTCGTGTTAGTGATCATTTATTACAACAACAAATTGAAAATGATCGACAAAAATTAAAAAAACAAATTCTACCAAATGTATCAAAATCATCAAGTTTATATGGTATACGAAATCCAAATATAGCTGCTTTAATAAAAGATATACCGATTGATAATGATGATGATGAAACAGAATTTGATGAAGATAAAATACGAGCTGATGATGAAATTAAATTTATTGAATATAAAAAAATTTCTAAACCAGCAACATCAAAATCAAATAATAGACAAATATCATCAATAAGTGGAAAACAATCAGTTAAATTTGATACAACACCATCAGTAAATATGGCACGACTTGTTGAAAGTCATTTAACTGAATTAGATGATATTGATAATGTTGATGAAAATGATAGTGAAAGTGAAGGTGATGAAGAAGATCTTGAATCACTTAAACCTGTGGTATATTTTCGAAAGATAAAATAAAATCTTCTTGTTTTTTTGTTTAAACGTTTTTTTTTTAATTTAAAGAGTGATCCTGATTCAAATTATCGTAGACAAACTGATAAATCAGCATGTGAATTATCTGGAACACTTTCAACATCTAAAGATAATGATGATATTAGAATAACTAATTCATCACTCGATTATAATCGACCATCACAAGAAATGTATATGCCACCAAGTGTTGAAGATATTAATGATGAAGAACAAAAAGAAAATGAATCAAATAATGAATTATTATCACCTGAAATTGTTCAACAACAAAAACGATCATCAACTCCAAGTGAAAAAATACAAGAACGTCTAAAATCATCATCATCATCATCTCGTCCTAAAACTGCTGTTTCAGCACAATCTCATAGTGATAATAAATATATTAATAATAATGAAGAACCAAAATCATCACGTTCTTCTTCTTCATCATCAACATCATCTGATGATACATCAGCTTTATTACGTAGTGATAATGATAAATCACCAACATCATCTGAAGATGAATCAAATAATGAACAAGAAGCAATACCTATTGATACATTCGTTAAATTAGATCGTACTAGTACAAATGTAAGTGATACAATGAATAATATCGATGAAGAAAATGTATCAACTCAAACTATTGAAAAATTACAACAACGAGATGCTAAAGGTGAATATGATACAAGTCAAGTTATTCAACTTAAAGAATCATTTCAACCAATTATAAATGAAGCAGCTTCATATGGACATCTTGATATTGTTCGAAAATTAATTGAGGTTTTTTCTTGTTCTTTTTCTTTGTTTTTGCATTGTATTATATTAATTATTTCTAGTGTGGTCAAAGTGTACACACACAAAATATGTTACAACGTACACCATTACATGAAGCATGTGTTAGTGGTAATGGACAACTTGTATCTGAACTTCTTGAGAGTGGATCATTAATTGATCAAAGAGATTCTCAAGGCATGACACCTTTACATGTTGCTGCTAGTCATGGTACAATTAAATGTATTCGAGTACTTTGTGAAAAGGGTAAGAAGAAAACGAATTTATAAGGTTCAAAAACAAAAGACGATTTGTCAATAGATAAATAAAGCACATGAATATTTAGTGTAATGGTAAGCTGAAATATTATATAAATAGAATTGTTACTGCTGCTATCAAAATGTGTATTTCTAATATGTACTTTCAATTCTATGTAAGAGTATTAATGATAATAGATGGAACAAAAATTTTGCATTTATTTTTTTGTTCTTTGTTAGAAAGAGTAAAATGTTAAGTGTAGTTTTTTTTTTTGAATTTAAAAAAGCAAAAATTTAACCGATAAGAAAGATATTGTCTTTTACTTTTCTCTCCCAAGTTTCGTAAAATAAAGAATCAGGACTATTACACTATTACAACTAAAGAAATTTTCGAAGTGTTTCACAACGGCCAATATAAACGATATTATAGCATCTGCTCGTAATACTGATTTTTTTCGAAACTAACTATGTGATAGAAAAAAAACAGTTATATTAATATTGGTAGTGCCGAAAAACATCGAAAGTCGATAATAAAAAATGAGATTCTGTTATATATATTTTGCACTAGGCATTTTGGTCTTTCTAAAAAAAATAGGATCTAAGTCTTTACGATATTTCATTACTTAATGTAGAATTTTTGTTCCATCCGTTAAATACTGGACTTTGAAAAGTTGGTAAGTAGAGATGTAAACCAATTGACTGATCTATCATGATACAATAATAGATATTTGATTTTTGAAAAATTTTCTATGCACTAGATTTTAAATTTTGTTTAATCTCTTTTTATATCTTATCATAGGTTGTGAAATAAATGCACAAGATAATCTTGGTCAAACAGCTGCTCATTATAGTGCAATGCATAATCATATCGATAGTTTAAAATATCTTGTTAATGTATATCATATTGATTTATCTATAAGTAATAATGAATCAAAATTACCTATTCATTATGCTGCTAAACATGGTTCTACTAATGTTTTAAATTTTCTATTTCAATCAAATTTAACTGTATATGAAACAGATATACATGGAAATACAATTGCACATGAAGCAAGTGAATATAATCAAATTGATTCAATTAAATTAATATGGAAAATGCATCGAAGTTTATTTAAAAAGAAAAATCATTTTGGACGAACACCTATTCATACGGTTCGATAAATATGTTTGTATGTATTATTTTATTGATTTTTATTTAATTACAGGCAGCATTATTTGGATCAAGTAAAGTATTACATTATTTACTTGAATTGAATATTATTGATATTGATCAAACGGATAGTAAGTTCGTAATTGTTTTCATTTCATAATAAATAGAGCTTTTCACATAATTCATTTTCGTTACGATATTCCTATACAAAATTCTAACAGTCATTAACAAAACATGTATTCAAAGGTTTTTTTTTCCTCATCTGAATAAAGTGAGCAACAGAGTTAAAGACAAGATAGCAGGACCGTCCTATTTTGTATTCAGCTTTGATAAGCGCTTTTAGATAAATAATTTTCAGTTTTCATATAAGAGAATAATACTATGAAATCAAAACGAACTTTCTGAATAATGCTATATTGATGTATATAAAAGAAAATCGTTAATTCTAAAGTCAATAGTTACAATATTTTGAATTGTCAAGCATGAAACATTGATTTTTACAAGGAAGTTAGTATTCAAAAAGCTTCAGTTGTGTGCATTTTTTATTTACACTAGGAGGGGGGGGGGGGTCAAAAAGTTCTGAGAATTTTAAAAGGGACTATGACGGGTTCGATAACTTATCCAGAATTAAAAAATCAAACACACCATGTTGTAGAGCAAGTCAAGGCGCGTCGAATGCTATATCACAAATCTTATTTTCATCAGATTTTGACGAAACCAGACTGAATTTACTAGTAGGCGCCCATGGATTCAAAGACTCCTCCCAAACAGCCACTACCCGTGAAAAACGATGGTGAATCATTGACAAAGTCGCATTTTTTCCTACCAAAGATAGAACGATCGGAGATGCTGAGTTTATGAGCTTGTAGCTCGTGAAAACCGCTACAAAACTATATATAGGAAAATTATTTTTACAAACACTTTCGACTGATACCAGAGCCCATAATGGTAAGTGCTTTCACTTGATGGTCGCCTACCAGTAAGTCCAGTCTAGTTCCCTTAAAATCTTATGAAAACAAAATTTGTTATATACCATTCGACGCGCCTTGACTTGCTCTACAATATGGTATGTTTTGTATTTTTAATTCTGAATAAGACAACAAATCCGACACGCTCTTTTTTAAAATTCTCAGAACTTTTTGATTCCCGTATGTATATGACATGAATTTTAGCATTTAAACTTATTAGTTTTGAAAACATACTTTAAGTATATTACTATAGTATCATTTGTAAAGTTCACAATGACTTCTTATTATAATAGAAAAATACCTTTGCATCGTTGTTTGTACTTGAAAATATGTCAAATTTCTTTAATGAGACAAAAAACATTATTTGATAGTAATATTTGTTTACATTATATCTGTATGACAAAGAAATCGTTGAATAAACTTCTACCAAATAAAAAAAACAAATGAAATCATTCAAGCAAATCAAAACAGAGATATTTCAATTTTGAATCGTAGTACTATTTATCATTTTGTATTACCGTTCAAAAAAAAAACCTTTTCTTATATCTAAACACTCGATATTCAACATATGAAAAATGAAAAAACAAAAAATATTTTTTTTTTGTTTTTTCTTATAATTAGATGATGGTTGTACCATGGCTCATCTAGCAGCTAGTCGAGGACATGGTGAATGTTTTTCATGTTTAATAATTCATAGTGCTCAACTTGATATATATACATTTGATCGACATGATTCTGTTATGGATGTAGCTAAACGTAGTGGTAAATATGGTCGAATTGAAAAAGCTCGTAAGTTTAGTTTACTTTGAAATCAAAACAAAAAAAATCAATTATTTATATAGGTTCTGGTACACTTCGTTGTAATTCTTGTGAAGAAAAATTAGCAAAAGAAAAACATGATAAAGCTCATGCACGTAATGCTGTTGAACAACTTATTCATACACAAATACAACGTGGTTATAATTTGAATATACCTGTAAATCGTTCTTCGACTAATTTAAGGTCTGTAAAAAAAAAAGTTTTTGATAAACTGATGATTATTATTATTTTTTTTTATAGCCAACGAAATCGTCCAATAGTCTAATTGAAAGATAAATATTTTGCTTCATGTTCATTAATATAACATTTATTTTTTACCTAATTATGCATAACCTATATGTTACCAATTATACTATTTTCTTTTTCTCTCTTGTTTGTCATGATTTTTTTCTTGTATTACATGCATATATTTATCAACGAACCATGAATGCTTTGTCATCCTTGGGAAAGAAAAAAAAAAAAAAGAAATAATTGATGCGTAACACTTTATTTAGTGGCCATTAATGTATCGTTTTTCTTTTTTCATATAGATCCTTTTCTTTCTCTATTCTTATCGCATTCTATTTTATTTTATTATTTTTTTTTTCTGAAATAAATTGTTTATTCTTATTTGCAGTACATTACTTTTTTTGTTGTCTTCTGTATGCATGAACAAACAAAGAAAAATTCTACGTTCGTTACCTTAATTATATTTCTATATTTGCAGCTACTATAGACATAGTACATGATGGTAAAAAAAGTAAAAATGACACTGTTAAACAATTCACAAAAAAATCGAATGAATTTTTATTACTTACATTGTGGTGTTTGTCGATGTGATCTAACTCTTTTTTTTTTTTTGTTTTTTGAAACCCAGCTTTTACTAATACCTGTTTTGATATATGTTCATACATATCATAACTGCTATAGCCTATATATATATATTCGATTAATTTGAATTTATAAATCATTGAAAAAATTAGCCAAATGTTTTTTTTGTTTTTTTCTTTTTGTAAAGGATAAAGTTGATCCACCTGTGTCTCATTCATCACATGGACATTTGCCAGTATCTCGATCTCAAATATTAAAAGAACAGATTCGTGTTGTATCAGGCTGTTCAATTAATATTTTATCTTCAATTGGTATTATATTTCTTAATAAATATATTTTTTCACATTGTCATATAAAAACAATGACATTAACTGCTATACAAATGGCATTTACATCAATAGGTTTAATTATATGTTTACAAATGAAAACATTTGTTTGTAAAAAAGTTTCAATAATAACAGTATTACCATTAGCTATATCATTTTGTGGTTTTGTTGTTTTTACAAATTTATCATTAGAATATAATACAATTGGTACATATCAATTATTTAAAGTATTAACAACACCGGTTGTTGTACTTCTATCATGGTATTTTTATAAAATAAAATATTCGAGAATGGTTATTATAACGTTAATACCTGTTGTTATTGGTGTATGTACACATTCAGTTAATGATATTAAACTAAAACTTTTTGGTACAATCGTAGCATCAATTGGTGTTATATCAGGATCACTTTATCAAGTTTGGATTTGTGATCATTTAAAAGAATTAGAAATGAATGCACAACAATTACTTTTTTATCAAGCACCATTATCAGCTATTTTACTTGTACCTTTTATTTTTTATATGGAAAGTTTTCCATCCTATACAACATATGAAGAACAACAAGTAGCAGTAATTGCTATAATAGCTTCTGGTATTGCAGCATTTGCTGTTAATTTATCAGTTTATTGGGTTATTGAAAATACGTAAGTTAATTAATGTTTAATTATAAATTCGAATATCTCTAGATATAATAGATCTACATTAACATATAATATGATTGGTCATATGAAAACAGTTTCAATACTTGTTGGTGGTTATCTTATATTTAAAGATAGTCTTAATTTTAAACAACTCATTGGTATTTTACTTACATTATTTGGTCTATTCTCTTATACATTTGTTAAAATGAGTGAACAAAATCAATTACCATGTAAACGTTGGAATGCAAATCCGACAATAAATATAGTATAGAAATTACAAAAGACATAAATTTATTTTTGATTATTATTTCTAACATTGAGTTTATATTTCATCTAGTATATTTTATTTTCAAGTTATCTTTCAGTAAAGTCCATTGTTTGTTCTAAATGAATATTCATATGATTGATATGATATAATAAGATAAACTCTTTAAAATTATAGCAGTTAACGAGAGCAAAAAAAAAAGAAATAAAATTACACAAGAAAATTAGTTTCATGTGCATTTTTTAGTGTATCGATTAATCATTGTTTGAATTATTTCAAGATTTTGATTCTAAATTTATTCAATTATTTCTTATGAAGAATTGATTGCACATGTAGATTTTTATTTTCGATTGGTTGATACCAGAGGTAGAACCGGTCCGGCTACAAAACTGAATTTTTTTTTGCTACACATATTTTGAAAGTAACATTTTATCTGTTAACTATAAACAATTGTAATATCGTAAAACATAACGGCTAATGCAAAAATTCTCGGAAAAATGCCCATTGAGAATCCATATTGAAAGTGTTTTCTAACTGTAAGGTTTATAAAAGTGCTATTATATCTTGTCTACGAGTACATTCTAAAATATAATCTGTCAAAATCAAACTGCATTATTTCAATAGTTTTAATTAGTTTCACCGTTTAATTCTTTGAGAACCTGACACAAAAAGAATAATTCGATATCGTTTAAGGAGATCTCTTCTTTTCTGGGTGTTAAAATTAAGATTTTTTCGATTTTTAGTTTTTCATGACTAATTTAGTTTCGAAGTGTTATCTGTCGAATGTCATAAAAATGAGAACTTTTCATTATTGCTTAGTACTTTATTGAAATCTTGTACAGAAAAATGCTCGTACTACGGCTATTCTTTGTATATAAAATTCTCCTAATGATAATGATTACTTATTCTCCCAAAGGTGCTGAGAGCATCTGGTCATTAACTTCTAACATTGTTGAACAAAGTCAGTTTTCAATCGCTGTAGTTAGAGAAAAGTTTATATCACATATGGGAACATCGCTTATTAGTTTTTCTCGAAATCTCACTGTATACGCAGAAAAACTTAGCGTCACTCCAGCAGTTTCTTCGACATAGGGCGTTCGATCGAACTGGAATTTTTTCTTTGCTTCGAAACATATTGTACCGTTCATTTTTGACAGATTTTACAAAAAATTTCGCCTTTGTGATCCAGGTATTTTCGAGAAGAAAGTATTTAAGCGTGTGAAGTTTATGACAACTTTTGCTTTATTTATCCAGATCTATCTACCCTGAAAGTTTCAAATATTTCTACAGAGCTCTTCCACACAAAACTCGACAAGCGAATCTTCTTGAAAGATAAAAGGTAAGATATGACAGAACTTTTTTGAACACATAGTAGAGACTATCAAGTCCAAAATTTTCGCACCTCATCAAATCGTACTTTGATAGTCTCAATGAAATTTGCTAATTAGCATTGAATAGTCACCTCCGAACATATGAGATACATTTCGACATTTTTTATCCAGTGATTAGCACTCCGTTAACATTTCTCGAACGTCAAGAGCTCGATTTAGTTTTCCGATCCACCTGTAGACTCCATCGCCGTGAAAGGGTTAATTAATAGTATTCTTAAAAAATGAAATTCAACTGAATGTTATTATTTCAAATGGTAGATTCGTTTTCTTTTTTGTCAAATCTACAAAATGCACTACACAAATAACAAAACAAAAAAATGTTTCAGTTCATCGAAACAAACAAACAATAATATATCGCAATAAACAGTAATAATTAAGCAGTTTCTTCATTGAGTGCTGCTGCTTCAGCTTGTTTACGACGTTTTTTTTCTTTTTTCTTTCGTTTTTTTTCTTTTAATAAAATTTGTTCACGTTCAGCTTCAGCTTCTTGTAAAGCTATTTGCATAACATCAACATTTTTTGCTGGTAATTCACCATTATCATAAAATTTTAATCGATCACTAACTTGTTGTTTTAAATGATCACCAAAAATAGCTGTCGGAATTTCTTAAAAATTCAAAAGAAAAAAAAAAATTAAACAATATTTTATAAAAAATAAAAAACGAAGAACAAACCAGAAAAACAATCAATGCGTGATGCAATAGCACATTTATTAGCAAGATAACGAGAAATACGACCTTTATTTTGTGTATTTGCTTTACCAATATAGGATGAATGATATATAAGACCATATTTTGGTGTATTACTCTTAGTTTTTAATGCTCTAATATATAGAAAATAAAATAAATTAAAAAAAAAAACATTATTAAAGTTTTGTATTACCGAAAAAGAGCTTTTTCAGCACCTAAAATTTGTATTGTTGATGCTGGATATTTTGCAAGATTAGTTAAACTACCAGCATGTGCAATAAGACGAGCGCCAACCTATAAAAAATTTCAAATAACTATAAATCATATAACACACTTTGACATTGAAAATCTACATACATTTATTAATCTATAATTAGATTGTCTCAATATTTAACGAGTTCTATAAAAGATACTCAAAAAAAACAAGATATGAATATGGACATAATCATTTCTTTATTGTCTTTGAATAGACTATTCAAACCAGTAGAATAAAAAAAGAAACTTCTGCGTTGTTTTTATAGTTCTCATGCATTTTATTAGGAAAATAATTTGTCTTTTGCAATAGAATACAGTGTCTTATCCAGGGTTTTTTCTCCGGAGGGGCGATTTGAAATTCCCGGAGGGCGAAAAATTTTTTCCCGTGAAGGGAGGAGAACTCGATTTTCGGGAAGGGGAGGCGGCGCCGCTCCCCGGACACGTCTGTGGATAAAACACTGATAGAATATAAATACGAAGCGTCCGATAGAGTTTGTCAGATGTAAAATTTGTTAATCGGAATCGAATCGTTGCGTCGAAGATTCGTACCAGAGATGGACAAAGTCGCACCGCGCCTCCCCGCGCCTAGGCGCTACGCACATCTCTCTTTCTCTTTGCTCTACCAATCAGTTTCTCAAACTCCACCGAATACCGGGATGCTCTAAGCATGCGCTCATCGAAGCTCAGACTAGTGTAGCGTAGGCCTGAGCAACGGCGCGGTGCGACTTTGTCCATCTCTGATTCGTACTAATTACTTAAGAGTCATGCAAATATTTATGATAAAGAAATAAAATGTATTCACAAATGAAGAAGAGAATTTTACTTGTAAAGAATGAATTTAGGCTGTACAAAAAAAGCTATGTTATTATCATCTTGATCGATTATTCTTACCTGTTCACCAATTAGCATAGCTAAATTTGGAGCTACTTGTCCCATTTTACTTCGTAAATACTAATTATAAAAATATAAAAAATAAAAACAACTTGTTTTTTTCTTTTTTTTTTTTTTTTACTTCTTGTAAACTTTTTCGATATTCAAATAAATGAATAACACGATTAGCAAATGATTCAATATTAATAAGATCAATTGGTGAAATATCCATACCTATATATTTATAAAAAAAAAAATTCTTAATATAAAATAACAAAAAATTTATTGAAAATAAACCAATAGTTGTTTTCATAGCTTCAAATATTGCTGCTGTTTTCCCACTATCCATTGTAATAGCTTCTAATTCATCATGATGATCAATTGAAAATTCTTTTCGATTTTTAATTAAATGTACAACTCGTGCATATGTATAATTATCTGAAATAATTTTAATTAATTCTGGAAAATGATAACCATACCATTCTCTAAATCCAAAAAAAAAGACCAATGATATAAATATAAAACTTATTCATGAAAAAAAAAAGAATCTTACCGAATACGCATTGAAAATGTATTTATATCTTTATCAAGTTGATCAAGTAATGCAATTGATTGTATAATCATATTATCAACACGATTAACATTAAATTTAACTTTAGCACGTGAATATGCATGACCTAAACCAAGTTGTGCTTTATTTTGATTTTGATCTGTTAAACCTTTGACTAAATTTGGAAAATGAAGACGAAGACCTTTAAAAATAATATTAAAAAGAAAAACAATTGAACATTTTTTCTTTTTTTTGTTTGTTTATTAAATTTTACCTCGTAAAAGTTCTGGTATAACACCTGTATGTTGACATGTTATTGAAAATAATTCATTTATAGCTGATGCTATACGTGGATCAGCAACACCAAGAATCATTTTAGCACGTTTTTTTTCTTTTGGTAAATTTGTATCAAGAAATGTTCGTAGATCATCATGAACTAAACCTGTGAAATATGGATTTAAAGATGAATGTTGAAGTAAATATTTTCATAAATCTCATATCACTAAAGCTAAGAGGTGTGTGAGACTATGAGAAAAAACTTGTCTCCATCGAAATTAAAGAGGGATGATTCAAAAATATGTGCCAGTCATTGATTACATAAATTAAAAAAAGAGACTATTGGGGTCGAAACCATAGGACTTGGCGCCACATATGTTTCGTTATAGCATACGAACTTCTTCTTCTCTATTGCCTTTCTAAGAGGTTAAGTAAGAATAAATGTACGATAAAATAATCTCTCTATGATTAGCAAGAACAGCTGTATTGTGTTTTATATTTTAATCTTGTAGAGATTGTAGTTAGACTCTTTTATTTTTTTTTAATATACAAAAAGAAAATATATACGAAATTAACCTTCAGATATAGCATTTATATTATCAAGTGCATTAACACCAGATTGAAATGGATGAAATGCCACAAGTTTAACGACAGTTGCAAATTTTGATAGATCAATTACACTTGCTTCTACTTGTGGTATATTCATACCAATTTCTTCAAATTCACGAACACGAAATAATGCATAACCAGATGCATGTTCAAATAGAATATATAGATTTGACTAGAAAGAAGAAAAAAAAAAGATAATTATAAGTATCTAAAAAAAAGATGAATGATATTTTGAGAATTTCTTACCATGAGTTTTTCTTTCTTGATATACCGAAGAAATATGAAAACAATAAGATGAGAAAGTGTTTATTACCAAAAGAATTCAGCTATCTGATTAGTTCATTTATCAATCAATAAGATTAGAAA